CAACAACAACAACAGCAGCAGCAGCGGCAGCAGCAGCAGCGGCAGCATATCAATAATAATAGCAATAACAAGAACAATTAAGACAAAACTAACAAGAACAATAACAACGGCAACAACAACAACACCACCAACAACAACAACAGCAGCAACAACCACAACAACAACAACAGCAACAACACCAACACCAGCAGCAGCAGCAGCAGCAGCAGCAGCAACAGCAACGGCAACAGCAACAGCAACAGCAACCACAACAACAACAACAGCAACAACAGCAGCAGCAGCAGCACAACAATATTAGTAGCAATAACAAGAACAATTACGACAACACTAACAAGAACAGTAACAACGACAACAACAACCACAACAACAACAACAACACCAACACCAACACCAACACCAACACCAACAACAACAACAACACCAACAACACCAACACCAACAACAGCAGCAGCAGCAACAACCACAACAACAACAACAACCACAACCACAACCACAACCACAACCACAACCACAACCACGACGACAACAACAATCAAACAAATATGAAGAAACACCCACAGCAAGAGTAAATAAAAAAAACAAGCAAAAAAAATAACAGCAGCGCAGCCGCAGTAGCAGCAAGTCAACATGCCGAACACTATTATATTTATCACGGTCGTCTTGAACATAAGCACCACGGCATCGTGCACCACCACCGGCATCGTCGGCAAAAACACCAGGAGTAGCAGTAGTGGTGGTGGTCGTAGTATTTCTTATTGTTATCGTTAGTATTGTTCGTGGTAGTATTATTCATCGGTATTGATGGTAATAATAGTAGTAGCCCGACGCCCCCCCCAAACAGAACAACTGAGTGGACCCAAAGCACTTGCCTCGCGCATTGCTTTCAGGTTCGCTGGATTGTCCTGTTCTACTCCAGCATGGCGTGGCTTGCAGGGTTCCGGCTTCTGCAACTCTGCAACCTAGCCAATGGCACTCCGAAAACCAACAGCGGAATCGGAACCTTGTTCCTGTGCATCCAACCGAGATTTGCCAAGCTTGGTCTGACTCGAACACAGACCGAGACTCCTTGCCCATCAGAAGCAGGGCGCCGAAGCAGTTCCTGGCTTCAGAAGTATGTACTGAACGCTGTGAAAACAAAGGGTGCGGGCTCGGGCTGCGCAACGAGGTTTTACTCAGAGGCCGCCAAAACTATCCCCTAAGCCAAAAAGGTTTTGAAAGACTGTATACCGTGGCCCAACAGGCAGCATGCGCTGGCATTCCAGCTTTGAAAGCCTACGAGCACGTGCAACCAAAAGCTGCACCTCCAACTGCCTGCCTGCCTCGCCTGCCTGCATGCCGGTGTGTCTCTGTCTGGGTGGGAACTTGTCTACCCGCTTGCTGCATGCATGCCGTTGGAGTCTGTCGTCCTGGTCTCCACCGTTCACAGTCAAGATATAGGTTGCATGATGCAATGAAGCTCCGACGATGTGCGCGGAAATTATACAGGATCCGCCTGTCCAGGATATAAGGCTAATACGAAGGTGCACAGGCGTCCATGTACTCTGCAATGCAAAAGCTTACATCAAAATATGAGAGCCCAGGATTGCATGAATCCTTACGAAATGTTAGGCCCTGGTCTAGTCAGGGAAAGGCTCTGGGGTTTATGCTGGCCCAAACTCTTTGTTGCAAAAGGGCCCCTAGATAAACATTGAGCCTGCAACCCTAAACTCCCTAAATTAGGGTCCCTAAACCCTAAACCGTGGTAACCTAAATCTAGGACCCGAAAGTGGTTTGGTGTCCTCTTGGCAGGGTACGCCAGGTCCAAGTTGAAGTTGAAGGACTCGTGGTCAAACTGCACCAAATCGGCATCTGACATGGCAGTGGCCAGCAGTGCCTGCTTGGCTGGAGTAATATAGGGGCCTTGATGATTAGGACAGGGTAGACTATACTAGAGCTATCAGCACGAACACTGGGAATAGTTCGCGGGAATCGGGATTTCGTTTCAGGAAGATTTGCAGCAGAGCCGAAGGCCGTGTTAACCTGGAGCTATAAGCATTTTCCTAGAGCTTAACATGCAGGGCTCCAGGTGTTGTGCACTCAGTGCTGTTGAGAAAAGTGCATAATACAGAGGGGTTAACACTCGGCCGCGCATGATGACGGGATGTCGAAGACAAGAAGTGGACGTGGTGATGGTGACGACGACGATAAGGTGGTGGTGATGATGATTTTGTTGAACTCCGCTGCTGTCGAATAGCCAGTCAGCTGACGACGATGATGCGGGAATGGTACTGGGACGAGTAACTGTTGGTGCTGACTACTACACTGCAACTACGAAAGCGATGGCTGGAGCTGCTGCTGCCACTGCTGCGACGATGATGACGGCCATTGCAATTGCTTCTAATTACGTGCCTCACTCAAGCTAGACAACGTGGGATCATGGCATAGGTGACAGTTGCTCCCTTGTCGACCTCTACAGGCAGTACTTTCCCAGAAGCCTAGCAGCAAAGGTGAATTTAATGGATTGGTGCTGCTATCTTTGGAAGCCTCATTGAAACATTATTGCCACTGTCGTCGTGTCTCGGGAAGATTGGCCCCCCGGCCTCCAACATTTTGCCCTTGGTTGCCTGCTCCTGGATACTGGCATTGAAAGGGATGATGCGAATTGCCGAAACGGGATCTCCCAGTGGTTGGTCGGAGCCCATGACATATTGTGTGGCCTCACAGACGAGACTGATGGCACCCTGGTCAGTAGGATTATCGTAGAGCACGCCTGGCAAGACCTCAAAGATACCCAAATCCGACCATCTGCTGCGGTATAAATCGGACTCGAATGCCATGGCCTTCACCGCCTGCAGCGTCTCTTCTGCAATCTTTGTCTCGTTTCCATGCTCCTTCATCAGCTGCACTCCCAGCGAGGGGAAGCCTTCATGGTAGGCGATGTCTCCATTGGTCCATGTGCCTGAAGACAAGGCATACAAAGACTGCTTGACAGGCTCAACTGCCCAGTCACTGTACTGCCCGTGAAAGTTGTTCCGGATATTCTGGATGAACATTTCTACGCCCCCAAGCTCGCGGGCAATGGCCCTGTTCTCGTTGACGAAGTCGAAATATGCACCAATAGCGCCCCCCAGGTCCATGACCAGCAAGCTGTCCAGGTGGGAGCCATAATAGTTCAGGGTAACATTCAATCCCCCGAGTTTACCGGCATGCAGACCATTCTCGCGATTGAACAGGATCAGAGGAGCCATGGCCATAGTGCAAGCAATGACTACGGTCTCAGTCACCGGAAACTCGTTCAAGGCAGCTGCGACAAAGTCGATGGCTCCAGCCTCGGTGGCGCATCAAACTAGTGGCATAAAGCCCGCCAAAGCAGAACATAGATCTGCCGCTGCCTATCTAAATATCTTCCTACTCCTTCTGTCCATACACCTAGAACAACTTGGAGCAGTGTGCCTGAGCCCAGGCATTCTGCGTAGCCACCGTGGTGCTGTCCACACATAGAGGGAGCTGGGCACACATTTCCAGCACCTCAACCTCAGTGAGGTTATGCACAGTTGGCATCAATCCGGCGAGAAGGCCGGATGCTTCCTCGGGAGTTGGACACCCTTTCTTGGAGCTCTCTCTCCGCTCCATTGCATCCGACTCCAAAGCTATCTGCAGGAATGAAAGTGTCTGCGGACATTCTTCTCCAGATCCATCGCAAGCGCTGGCGATGTAGATGGAGGCAAAGGCCAGCTTCACGGCAAAGCGGGCCATCGTTTGCACAAGGGTTCGGAACCGAGCCTGCCCTCTCTAAGGTCTCGAGAAGGACTCTGGCTGCTCTCCTCCTTTTTGTGAAGCTCTAGGTTCAGTCTGACACGAAGGAGACTGACAGAAAGGCATCGAATGCTTGACCTCAAAGCCTAGTGCCAAAAGTACCAGCTGATGGATGCAAAAGGCACTTCGTGATGGGGACCCTGCCGGTTCCGAGCGCCACTGTCAACACAGCCCTGCAGGCAAAAAGTCGCTGAGATCACAGCCGTTCTCTCCCCAATCCCAGATAACGCCATATCATGGTGTGCAGGTGATGCAGAGATGCTGTAGTATGTTTGGTTAGGTACTTTCTCATGATTTGTGCATCGCTCATGAAGCCCCAGACCCTGAATCCCCGTGCCCGGTCGGGGCATCAGTGAACAATCGGCCGAGAGGCTGGGTCACTGTCAGAGCTACCTTGGTCCGGTATAGGAGCCAAACAAGAAAGCAGTTGCTGCTCAGAGAGCAAGTGCTGACAAGCCCTTTCTCCCAAACTCTTTCCAAGTCTTCGTTCAATCCCAACAAGATGCTTACCTGCTTACCTGGAACACTGAGGCCTACCTGGTGTGTTCCACGGGGAACAGGGGCTTTCTGTTGTTCGCCCGCACCCCTCCCATACTCGACACATCGACGGGCATACGAGCAAGTAAATGGTCTTTCCAACTCCTGCGCCTAGCGTGCCAACACTGCGCACACGGATGTCGACAAAGCAATGCATAGCAACAGCATCCCACGCAGACTTGGGCCATGTGCTGACCGCGTGCGAGCTGTTTGAAAGTGGCAACAGTCGCATCCTGCCACCTCCAACACTCCCAAAGGCCCTGCAATCTTGAACTCTTGCATTCTGCCCGAAATTTCGGCTGCCAACAGAACCCATTCCCGACAAGCTGGGATTCTGACTCTCGCCACTGGTCTTTCCAGGGTCCTGGCTGCAATCGTAAATCCCCAAATCCTGAACCATGCATGGCAAGAATGTGGCACCGATAATGTGGAACGCTGTTCCGGACGGGCGGGTCGAAAGAGTTTGAGGCTTTGAGCTTACAGCTTTCGGACATCCAACCGAGCTGATCTTCTAGGCGGCATACCGTTGCCTTGGCAAGGAACTGTGAACATAGCTGGCTCAGTTCCAAGGACACGAACCTGCAGCCCCATATCAAATCACGCACACACAACCCGCTGCGATGTGCCAAAGGTCTTTTGCATTGAGAAGATGCCTCTGCAGGTAGGAGTCCCTCTTCAGCAAGAGCAGTTCCCTGCTGAATTGCTAAGGTTCAAAGCTGCGTGATGCTTTCATTTAGTATCCTGGCTGAAAATCTGGTGCGGGCAAGGGTTGGATTTGCACCGCCATGCAGACCAAGAGCGGCTCATACCCGGGACTTCGAAGTACGTCACACCCGGGCTTTGAGCCCTGGGCCGCTTTTGGCGCAGAGTGAGTTGGCGAGCACGTTTGTCGCAATGCTTCGCAGTCATAAACAGAACGACAGCAATGGCAATAAGCCTCTCTCTTCCTACAAAAGACTGCTGCCTCTCCGGAACCAGACCCCGGTATGGACAGACTTTCGTCAGCTTGTTTCACGGATGCTGCTGAATGTTGTGTTGACGGGAATGTACAGTCACACACAATTTGCTGGCGCACGTCCGAAACCTACCACGAAAAAACATGCCCACGCCATACTGCATCTTCCATCCCATTCCTTAGCCCTGAAGTCATGTTCAGCTCCTGGTGGTAGTCGTTCTCCAAAAGCTCAACCGTCTCCTCTGACTTTCTCTGCTACATGAACCGGAGCGCCTATCATGCTGTCCCTCCTGCATCACAGCTCGAGGTCGCTATCCTTATGCTTATTCTGTAGTCACCCGTCCTCTGTCGGGCGCATGAACCAGCGGGAGGTCGATGACCTGGCATCAGGTTCTCTAGTGCAAGCGAGGCATAAACTTGTTCCAAGGACCATTGCTGTTCGAACACACCTTGTCGAAACGACAGGGCGTCAGCCGAAACGATCTCAGCAGATCGTCTGCGTGCGTGTGTGTGTGTGTGTGTATGTATGTAGGTATGTATGTACGTAGGTAGGTATGTATGTATATATATATATATATGCGTGTGTACCTATGTTTACATTTATCGAGTTTGCTATTTTTGCTTGGTATGGACACACATGTATGCGCACATTTGTGTGAAGCACATGCAGACAGATGCCCCCACACACACACACATGTATATATATATATACATACACACACAACACCATGCATACATACATAGATACATACATACACGCGCAGAAATGCAAAGACACAGAGACATATACCCACCTACGTGCTTGCCTGCCTGCCTGCCTGCCTACCTTCTTGTGCACATATGTGATTATGTGCACGGAGACTAGGGGTAGTATAAACTACCAGTGGGCTGATCAGCTGCTTGCACTGCGAACAGCAGCTAGTGCATCACCGCAACATCAAAACAGGTGACATGACTGTTGTCATGCCACTCATACAAAACCATTCTCCACCTGGGCCCTAGTGTCAAAACTCTTCTCCAAGAGGCTCTCGCGCTCATACTACCTACATTACATGTACTACCGACCTACACCTATTTCTGCAGCCCACCACATCCAAACAGGCAAGCCGATGTGCAGAGCAGCGTCCCTTTTTGCTGCGCATGCGTGCACCAACACCTCCAAGTCTATGAAGGAGAACTGAGCAGGAAAACCCCCTGGCAAAGGCCTCTGAAGGCCCTGAGCTCGCATGCTTGAGGGCCTGTTTCCCTCCCATGCCCGGTCTTGCAGCCTGCGCTGGCTCAGGATTCTGCAAAAATGACATATACAAATCAGTTTCCAAGCCATCACCCCGTGGTTCAGGGGAGCGCGTCCACAAGACCTCCGACCTGGAGCGCCTTGAGCGTCAGGGCGTGTTTTCGGTAATTTCTGGGTAATTTGAAGCTATGAGGCGAAATCCCTGAGTATAGTGCCCTGAACCAGGAACCCCTCACAGGAGGACTTACAGTAGGTCCCAAACTCTAAAGGCTCGGAAAGATGAGGTTCCACGCTCACAATGCCACAATACCCGGTCCTAAGCATCCGCAGGCTTTCAGCTTTTCAGGATCCCTAAAGTTAAAGCCCAGCCCGAAGACTTTTAAGAGCGACAGCCTAAAGTCCTTACCCACAGAAGCTGCCCCCGTCGTTCTTCCCTCCAAACCTCGCAGGGCACCTTCTTGTTCAAGATGTTCTGCAGGGAGAGATCAACGCCATGGCTCGGTGCGTCGAGGTTCACTGGGTCGATGTAGCCCCACTCCAACCTTCTACAAGTAGGGTACGCGGTAGCCCCTCAAAAGCTTAAGGGCACCATGTTTTCATATAGTGAGCCCCAGAAAGTTGGAACATAAATTCAGGATGATTAGTGCTGAGATATCCTCTACTCTACCTTAAGGGCATGAGGATAATGATGTTCCAACTTTCTGGCTTCTATACTGTACTGCGGATCAAGCTTCACGTGGATTTAAGGTTGCAGGACTATAGAAGTAAGGGGTCCGGGTCGCTTGGATGGTCCTAGAATACATAAACGCTTCCCAGTCTGCATCCAAGCAACTTGAAGCCACTGATGAGGTTGGCGTCAATTTCCTCGATCAGCTTGATGTTGCTTGTCTCACACTTCACCTGAACGGGTTTCGAGGGCAAGTTCGAGAAGGGTTTCTCACTATGTTGCTCGGCTGTATTTAAGACTTGAGTTCCGTCCTGAGTGCAAACCCGTGCACCTTCATCTTCTCGATGATCTTGGACTTCTGCTCATCTGTCAACCTCGCTGCGGAGGTCACCTGAGGGGTTTGCGAGATACTCATCCACTCAACTGTTCAGAGTTCCTTCCCCCTTATAGGTAAACCCCATGAAACCCTAAGGCCCTTGTACTTAAACTCCATGAAACCCTAAACCCCTTATATTTAAACCCCATCAAACCCTATACCCCTTATAATTAAAGCCGCATGAAACCCTAAACACCTAATATTCAAACCCATGAAACCCTAAAACCCAAACCGTACCCCCGCTCCCATGGTTTGGGCGACCCTTGGGGCCCCCGCCTTCACTGGGCTGACGGACTCGGTGAAATAGGCACTCTGGACATACTCGAGGCAGATGGCCTTCAGGCCCTTGAGTCGCATCTTCCTTGGATGAAAAGGCCTATGTGAGCACCTATATTTACAACATAGGTATGTATGCATGCATGCATGCATGCATGCATGTATGTATGTACATAAAGTGCATGTAAGTACATGTATGTACATGCATGTACATGCATGTACCTGTATATACATGTATGTGTACGTTTGACGTTTGTGTGCACAGGTGCCCGTGTCTGCGTATGTACATATGTATGTATGCATGTGTGTAGGTAGGTATGTATAGATAGATTAGACTGGATTAGGTTAGATAAGATTAGATCAGGTTAGATTAGATAGAAGGAACACGAGCCTGTCTTGCAAAGGACATTCAAAAGAACGGAGAGCAGCCCATAAGCATGAGGCATTGCCAAGGGTCTTTGCCAGGAAGCGGACGAACTTGGGCGTCACCGTGGACTTCAACGGCTTCACCTGAGGAGTTCTTAGAGTGCTCAGGCCCTTCAGACGTCAGTCAGAACCAACCTTTGGTCAAAGGCTGCTGGGAAGGCCTTTGCCTTTTAAGCAGGGCTGTACAGCTATGCCTTTGGGAAAACTACTCAACCCGAATCTCAGGCAAGCACCGTACTTGCAATCAGGCACAGGAGCCTATCAACAAGGCAACACTCATTCAGCACCATGCCGTAAACCCAAACTCCACAGCGCCCTCTCTGTTGCGCAAGCTCGGGGCGAGGAAAAGTCCACAACTGTCTCAACAAACGACCTGCACCTGGAAAATCACCGGCCTCACGGTAAACCCTAAAGCTATCGCTCCGTTGATGCAGAGAGCCTTATAGGGCCTTAGGGTGACAGTCTCGCTGTGTAAGACCCAAACAAGCATAGTCATAGTCGTGTGCCTTGTTCCAATTCTACAGGCGCAGGGTTCAATCTCCACACAACAAGCCTTTACATAAGACTTTGAATCTGGTATACGAATCCTACAGGGCCTGCTTCCGCTCTTGCCAGCCCCCAGGCCCCGAGGCCCACAGGCAAACCACTTCATTACCCTGCGCCGTGCGCGAGACAGTGTGTCCAAAACCCCGCCTCGATAATCCCACGGTTAGACCATGTTGTGTCTGGTACCGCTGTTTGTTGCTATGGTACTGTAGCTCTCTTTTGCAAACGATGCACTGCAACGACACGGGGTCATAGACGCCTGAAGGCACTCTTAAACTTTAAACATCCATCTCAAAACGTATAGTGAAGCCCCTACATAAGCCCAGTCATAAGCCCCGGGATCAGGCACCATGTCAAGGATCTTGTCCGCGCGCTCCACATTTGTAAGGTTGAAGTCATTCTGCACCAGGCTAAGCTCCTTCAAAGGATTTCATGCTATGTCCATTATAGGTGTCTGAGATAGGGTAGGCCGCTTGGTGCCTCAAAGACAGCCTCATCTTCGTAGAATGCCTTGATCTTGAGAATATCCTCCATCACTGCCTGGGGGGTTCTGTGCTTTGAGGTTATTGAAGATTGCGGGTGCGGTGGCAAGGGACCTTCGAGGGAAGCTGGTACCTGCCCCAAGCTTGTCAAAGATTTGGCGCTACAGCTGCAGGGCTCCACATTTACCATGAACCTCATGTGTGTTTCCCAACCATGGGTTTGGGATTCTGGGATCCGAGCGAATTGCACATGAGAACGAACAAAGGACCGCGCAAGTTCAAGCTGATTCTGATTCTGCATGAAGCAGCATCCTAAACCTCAACGCATCACACACACCTTCGTCCACTTTCGTTGTCATGTCTCTCTCTCTCTCTCTCTCGCTCTCTCTTGCGCTTAGTCATGCATCAACAGGCCCACATCGTTTAGCCCGAAATAGCCGCGAGCGGCGGTCTGCAGCAACACTTCGAAGTGCACAGAACACCTTCCTGAAACTGGCCTGGGCCGTCTACTAAAGCCGACAAGCCTGACCCCTGGAGTCGACAATTAAACTCCAACAGGAGCCCACAGTATCTTAAATCACGCAAGCACATGCAATGCCCTAGAAAAAATAAGTGTTGTGAACAAAAACATGTTTACGTTTGGGCTTTTTGGCCCCTTGCGCCCAGACTTCCACCAGGAAGCAGCGCCAATGGCATGATTCCGTGAATTGAAACACCCCTGCATCCATCCGCTAAGCCCGAAGCCTAAACCCAAAGGCTCTGAAGCCCGGAACCTCAACAGCCTAAAGCCTCAACGCCCAACCTCAAACTTTTTCCCCTCTTGTAGAGTGCATCGAAGTGGCGGCGTCCTCACCTGGCGAATTTGAGAAAGCGAAGGGGTTCCGGTGCAAGGCTGTGAATGATAGGATCGTCAAGATCCTAAGAATCAGAAATCCGTTGCAAAACTGCAGTTTTGAACGAGAAACAAGGCATAGCAGTGCAGAAACACTTTGCAGAGCCCTGCTATGCAGTTACAAACCCTTCATAGAAACGTACAACACCCTCATTCAACAGATTCTAGAACCGCCATGCGACCCTCTCAAAAGAAGCCGCTAAACCCCGAAAAAGCGCCCAAACCCTCATGCTTCACCCGCCAAGACGCACCCTGAACCCCAAACCCTTAAAGTTTTAAAGCCTAACCCCCAAAGGTCTTAAACCCTAAACGTCTTAAGCCCTCACCCCTGCAAGTCCTAACCCCTACAAGCCCCAAACTCTGAGCCCCAAAAGTCTTAAACTCTGAGCCCACCTTTGGCTATGCCAGCGTCTCGGAGCGCTTTCGCATAGGACACAGCAGGGCCGAAGGGCTTCCTTAGGGTTTAGGGTCTAGGGGTTTAGGGGTTTGGGGCTTAAGGCTTGCAGGGTCTAGGGGTTTAGGGCTTAAGGCTTGCAGGGTTTATAGGGTCAGCTTTCGCTCTCTCCAAAAGGGGGTTAACAAAGGGGGGTCTAGGGTTCCCACAGGATTTTGCGAGCTTACGGCTTAAGTCTCAAGAGGGTTCCTACAGAACTTAGGGGGGGTCGAGTTGTAAGGAGTTCGGGGCTTGAGAGTGCTGTGGCCAGGGTTTCCGACGGATTCCTGCAGGGTTTTGCTTGGGTGGTTTGGACTCATGGGCTTTTTTGGTATCTACTTGGGTTCTAATGATCATGGCCTACTAGTCTGTGGGATTTGGTGATACGCGTAGGAATTTCAGCATAGGAATCATCGAGCGTAAACAGGCTCGAGGATTCTATAGGACTTGGGGATGCTTGGGGTGTTTCGGCACACTTGCCGCCAAGTGCCAAAGTGGAAAAAGATCCTGCATTCAGTATACTTTTCATTGTTGGGCTCGTGCCTGGAAATCCAAAAAAATATGTTGTGACTTCGGGGCTTATCTGGCCTATGTTCTGGTTCCTGCACCACAGCGTTCTATAGGCGCGGTCTGACATTGGACCTGCAGCTCGCTTGTAGAGCCAACATGTAAGTCTCTGCTCCTTTGCAGAACAGTCACATGAGGCTTTCCGGAGCAGCGGGCACAAGGCAATTCGGGGTCTCGTGCACACGAGCACGTGCGCGAAATATAGTATGATGATAATATGTCATGACTATCCCCAACTGGAAAATCTGTCGCAACCTACTACGGTTGCAGATGTCTTTTGGGAGTCCGACAGCACCAAGATTGGTACTAGTAACTAGTACTTCTCAAGACTTAGACCGCCATGTGCTGTGGTCAAGGTGGAACACCGAGTTTCAAACGAGGGCTTTTCATAGCTCTGTTGTGTTCAGCCTTTCAGCCGCTGTCGCAAGCATGTTTGATCTTCGCAGACATGCTACATGACATTTGCAGCTTGCTTGACCTTAACCTCTGTACTCTATCCCAATAGCCTCGGCAACGCACGACATCCGACAAGAGGAGCCCTTAAGGGCCATCTGAGATGATACACTTGCACAGCTCAGACTCTGTGATTTATGCGAAAACCGTGAACCTCTACACAAAGAGACCCATGAAACCGCTCTGCTGGCCCAAGAAGACCCGAAAACAGCAGACTCAGGCAGACTCAACCCAATAGAAATCGAGCTTCAAGTAGGATCCGTCCGCCTGACGTTGCGTGAGGCTGCGCTGCTGAGCCGCCATGCCCTGCTGCCTTTGCTACGAGTATGCTGCTTTGTATTCGGATATCGGGATAGGACTTCTGGAGGATGACTTAACATGTCGAACTCAAGGACTGTAGATCTGGGATTGGGACGTCCAACCGCAAGAAAGCTGCGCAGAGCGCCCGAAGCCTGTGGACAGCGAAGGAGTGAAAGCCAACTTCCCAACGAAGCACATCACCTGGCTGCAAAGGACCGGCGATCAAAGCAGGAGCATAAATTAGCAGAACCACAACACACGCCTAGCAACTGTTGGTTCAGCCAGCAAGTGTAAATCAAGGCATATCTGTACACATGGATGCATCAAAATACAGACACACTTGGGACAACGTTAACATTAACAAATGATCAACCTAGATGTGGTCCGGATAATGGAGATGATGCTGGACATTGCTGCTACTATAAACAAACTATAAGCCTGTACAAGCATATCTGTGTGTATCAGCAAGAGAATATATATATATATACATATACATATACATATACATATACATATACATATACATATACATACATACACATGTATATGAAAACGAATCTTGTGTATGTATGTATGTATGAATGAATGAATGAATGAATGCATGAATGCATGAACCCCCTTATGTATGTGTGTGTATTGTATGTATTATGCATGAATGCATGAATGTATGTATGTATGTATGTATGTATGAATGTATGTATGTGCGGCATAGGTATGTATGCATGCAGGCAGGCAGGCATGTACGTTTGTACATGTATGTGTATGTACACATGTGCCGGTGTTTGCATAGGAACATGTACATTTTGATGTATGCATGGGCGCACGGGTGTATGTACCTACGCTACCTAGGTATGTTTGTACGCATGTATGTTTGTATGAGCCTAGATTACCTAGGCATGTGTGTACTATGTATATGTATATACAGGTGTACAGATGTACATACACATAAACACATGCATGTATGCATGTCTTTATGTACGTGCGTATATATATATATAATAGAATGAATGAATGACTGAATGAATGAATGAATGAATGAATGGATGAATGAACGAACGAACGAAGGTATGTATGTATGTATGTATGTATGTATGTGTGTATGTATGTATGTATGTATGTATGTATGTATGTATGTATGTATGTGCGTATGTGTGTCTGTATGCATGTCTCTCCCTACGTATTTATTTGTGCACCAATATTTGTATATACGCATATGATACACTCGTTTGTCTAACTTCTGTAGAGACCTAATTGTATACGTACATACATGCCCTGGCGTACGCATGTAGTGCATGTGCCTGCTCAACTGCCTCACCGAAGGAAAGTCCATGTCTAGTACAACCAGGTCGCTGCCGCGGACAGAACTGCCACTCCCATCGTTCGCGCCATGCCGACTGCTCGAAGGAACAGAATCGGAGCTACTTCTGAATGCGGGAGGTGAGGCTCCTCGAGCAAACACGGCCTGCCTGTGGTCGCACTGTTCCAACTCCAAACTCTGTGAGGAGGAAAAGCTAGAACAATCCGAACCAACCAGGAACAGCAATGTATAAAGAGGACAAGTCATCCGCGTGTCCTTGCCAAACAGCCTGGGCATGCTGCCCTTTACATGAGGATCAGGGCTTCAGCCTTTTGGTTGTTTTTCAAGTTCCAGGAATCCCAAAACCATAAAGCCTCGACCCATATCATGGTTAGGGCCACTTCTGCACCTCCCAGAGTAGTGCCAGGACCCGGGGCTCAGCGCCCGGAGCAAGGCGTGAAGACCTCGGGCCCAGGAAAACCGCTACTGTTCCCTATGCTTTAGAAGGACGTTGCTTCCTTGTAGTGTATCTGGCTCTCTGGGGAGCGACTTTCAAGCGGGTGTTAAGGTTGAAGGGTTGAGTGGTTATAGGGATCTAAGGGCTGAAGACTCGAGATTAAAAGCTTGGGTTCTTTTCGTTCAAACTTGTTTCCGACTGCAGGAGTCTGAAAACAACGACCCGCTAGCTAGCTAGTCACGTACATGTCTGAAGACAGCTGATATCCGCTCTTCGGCTTCTGGACTCAGGGCTAAAGCTCAGGAGTCTCCAGTAAGCAAAGTTGTATGAGGGCTTCTGCCTACCCCATAACATGTCGCTTCGCGCGTGGATCCATATTGCATCCGACAGGTTGCGTACCGTGTATCTGTATGTGTATGTTGTGTATTTTCTAGCGAGCGCAGTGTGCTCCCAGCAGAACCTGGCATTTGATAAGAAAAACCAAGACGTCTGTACAAACATGCGGCTCAAAACAACAGCACCAGGTCAACTATGATGAGAAAAGACACGACGTCTGTACAAACATGCGGCTCAAAACAACAGCACCACGTCAACTATGATGAGATTACCTCGCGTATTATCTGGAGAGGCTGGAAGCCTTGGTGTGCCATCATCTGGAACTAAACAGGATCTAGCCTTTGAAGAGCCTGTTGCTTGACAAGCTGGAGATGGGCATCATTGTCGGGATGAAACATGGCGATGGGACCTGCTATTTGCTTGTATGCGTCAGCATGTCGTATATATGTGTATAATTATACACATACATACATGCACCTATACATATACATAAACCTGTACATTTCATACATATACACATAGATACAGTATATGTGCGCCTATGTGGACAATTGCTGCTTTTATCTGAATCAGCCTGTGATGTGTAGTTTGGCAGGTATACAGAGTAGATCAGAGTAGCCTGCGAGAATCACCTGCTCTCGAAAAGAATCTCAGGGCCGACGATCACAATAAACGCGTTTTAGGAAAAATCACACCACCAACACTACCCACCAACACTACGACTCGTGCTACGAGTGGTTTATACAGTTACTGACACGGCGGAACATTGCTAGGCCAGACCATGAGAGTTGTGTTGTCACTCATTGTCGACACAGCGTTGAGAGTCCAAGTGGAGGGGCTCCTCTGGAAGGAGCAACGACCAAAGGCTCTCTCTCTCTCTCTCTCTCTCACGGACTCGAGTCGATCATGCCGCG